CTGCAGATTGACAAGCAGGCCATGATTTATTACAGGGTCTCTTTCTAACATTATTTCGTCTGGAATGAACAGAGTGGTTAGAGAAACTCCATCCATCTTTTTGTTTATTTGACATTTATGCTGCATTAAATGTACATTAAAGAAACAATCCATGAATAAGGAATTCTGTTTAACAATGATGATTACTATCTGTCAGATAAGTCTCTTGACAATCATACAGAAGGAAATCCTGTCAAGAAATGTCTGTTAAGATTTAAATAAACCATTTTTAACATGAACAATATCCCGAATGAAATTTCATTTCATTTTCTTTCTAAGAACTACCATTACAAATTGTGCCAAGTTATTTTTTCATTTCAATAAAATTAGCACTGTCTCTCAATTTTACTTCTAACTCAGTCACTCATTACAAAGTGGTTACTAAAAACAGAATGTACCTTTTATTGTTAATGTTTGTCAAAAAGTTTTAATTCATATCTCTCTAGTACAAATAGCTAAGACCTTTCTAAATGCATTTTATTTTTCTTTCATGATTTTTTAAGGCTTGACTTTAAAATTCATCCTATCACAAGATTTGTGAGAGAGAGCAGTCATCCAGGCAGGAAGGACACCATGGCAGCCCTGGAGAGTCAACAGAAGCTTCCTGGCTGGGCCTTTCAGTTACTAAGCTTGTTTCAAATCCACTTGAAAGTTTTGAGCAATTGTTTGTTATAAGTCTCAAAATGATTAAATTCAGCTTAGGAAAGATTGTTGTGTTGGGTTCCTCCTTAGCATTCAGTGGCTCTGCTCTTAAATATTAGATTGCCACTGTTTAGTATTAGCTAGAGCTTGCTAATCAGTTCATTTTGACACGATGGCCTCTGAAATCATCACCTTCCCTTAGTGTGTTAGCTTTTTATTGTCATCAAACAACCAATGTTGAACCTAAAATACTTTGCATTTGTCTGACTTGAAGATGCTACAAACTATATTGTATCATAGAACCCCCAATTTTTATTCTTACCACTCATCAATAAACATTGAGATTGATCCAGTGGATTATAGTTTCATCACAGTTTTCTTAAGATAGTAATCCTAGTAGTTACCAGATGATTATGCCCTGAGATTTTTTTTAGAAAACTGTGTTATGTTTCTGCCAATTATAGATGTCAGTTATATTTGTCTTAATGAGCATTCCACACAGGATGTCTATTAGATTCTCATAATAGGTGTGCAGTGTGGAAGGACAGGGACTTGTCATAGTGGGTGGCTCAGAGCTCACTGTGGGAACAATATGCCCAAGTAGTCACTGACCTAAAGGAAGTAAAAACAAGGGAACTCAGGAATTAGAATGTTTTTCAATTGAGTCATGTTTTTATGCAACACACATATCAGTGAAAGTTTGCAGTCTTTGAGCTAGCCTTCACTTCTAAAAATGATAGCATGAATGGAATAGAGTATAAGGAAAAGTTACAGATCGGATCCCTGTTTGTGGCATATGTCTAAAAACTGAAAATACTGGAAAATTTTTAACTGGCCCACACATATAGGAATGGCTTTTAAACTGAACATATTTGAGTCTCTATTTGTATTCTACCTGTTTTGTTTACAGTTTGTTGTTTTTCTAGGTACACTTTCAGTCCATTTGTATGTATGCTTACTGAGTATGGATTGGATAGTGACTTTAGAGTTCCTTTTTATGTTTGCCTCCATTTTGTAATGTTATCCTGTGTGCAAACTAAGGTCTAATAACTTGCCCTGGATACTAACTTAAGGGCATGTCTCCCATTAGGAGGTCACTCATATAAGTCAGTGGCAATTTGTATCATAATTGAGCCTTTAAAAAGTACTATGAAACACTCTTTCAGATGTTATGAAACCTCTGCATTGTCAACAAGGTATTAAATAATGGGTAGATGTCTGTTTTGGTGGAAGTATCAAGATCATTCTTAGTTTTGTGGTGGTGGTGTGTTAGTGTTACAGTGCTGAAGATAGACCTCCGGGCTATGAATATGCTAAGCAAGGACTTTACTACTGAATTGCATTCTCAGCCGCAGGAGCTGTTCTTTGAACTATATACTCAATAGACCGAGTATAGCCTTTGAGCATTTCTTATGTGTATCCATGGGAAAGCCAGGCTGTCAGACGACTACCCTAGCTTTTCCAGCCCTACAACATTTTTTCTGATCTGTGCTGACACTGCTCCTGTATCTTCCAATGCCCATTAGTGACTACTTCTGGATATTTTTGTTGGTTTGTTTCTTATTTCCTTATTTTTATTGAAAATAATTTTTATAAAATATATTCTGATCATGGTTTCTCCTCCCTGCCAACTCCTCTCAGGTCCTCTCCACCTCCCTACCCACATAACTCACTGCCCTTCCTATCTTTAGAAAACCAACAAACAGACAAACAAAAAAAAAATCAAATAAACTGTAATGGAAGGAAAAAAAGAGAAAACACAAGAAACAAGCGCGCGCGCACACACACACACACACACACACACACACACACACACCTATTCTAAAGTGGGAAGTTGTTGGGAAAGAAGCAATATTACCCTGCACCCTTATACTACAGTCAGCTGCTCTGTAGTCCATTCTGATATGAGAGGAGTGGTTTGATTGCTGATTGTGTTCTTTACATATGCATCTATTCTGAATGAGAACTTGGTGGTAGTGATCCATATCAAGCATCTTTTAAGGTAGTATTCATACCATTCTCCCTGCCAAAAATCCTGAGATCCAATCATCGAACAAAACCTGGTTTAGCTCTGGTTCTTCTGTCAGGTATTAGTGTAGCCATTTCTAATTCCTTATGGCATTCCCCTCTCCTTTCAGGCACAGATTGGTCGAGCCCTGTGAACTCAAGCCTGTGCCTTTATTGTTTTCACTTTCTCCACTTTCCCTCATTCTGTATACCTACTTGTGAACTCATTAATTTTGAAGCAAGGATCTCACAACTTTTTCCAAAACCAGTGTGTTCTTACAAGATCTAATAACGTTCTCTATAGGGATAGTATCATCCCTAAAAAATTGAAAGTTAGTTCTTAGGGAGAAAATGACTCAATAATTTCATTTTGTGTGTGTGTGTGTGTGTGTGTGTGTGTGTGTGTGTGTGTACACACGCACACACAATATAAGTATTGTTTCAAAAGTCCCAAAGTGCAAACAGGAACGAAGAGCCAAAGGTAGTCGTGAAAGAAAACCGATAGACTCCTTGTTAAAATGTACACCATTTCAGAACATGGCTATTTGCAAATTACTTGTGTAAATGTACACCATTTCAGGACTTTGGCATTAGCATATTACTTGTGTAAATGTACACCATTTCAGAACATGGCTATTTGCAAATTACTTGTGTAAATGTACACCATTTCAGGACATCACCATTTGCATATTACTTAAAATCTTCTAGTTCTTTTTACCCAAAACTGAAGCAGTTTTCCTCTCTGTCTACTTCTATGCTGTCTCCATGGCCAGTATCACCTGAATTTCCAGGCCCACCCACTCTGTGCAGTAAGTACCTCCAGACCGAGGTCCGACCTCAGTGGGGGCTGTCTTAGTGTCCTGCCTGCATTATAGCCACTTCTCTTATAGTTAGCTCTGTGGTTCTGTTATTTCCTTCACTCTACTCCTTTGTCTGCTCTACACTGCAGGGAAAGTTTTAAAAGTTTATGTGATCATCTCTCATCTAGTTTAATAACTTCCATTGCTTAAGGACAGGTTAGTTCCATTATGTGGCATGCTTTTCTTCTCTTTTCTGCGATTTTCAGATTTATATCTTTCCATTGACTCTATTTGCATCCCCTAATATGTAAACATTTTTAGTTTGCTGTTATTTCAATCCATTCATATTTTTTTCTTGTGTTTATCAGCTTTGTGTTGCTGTTATATGATACAGCTTTTGTTATTGTTGTTGTTTGTTTTTTCGAGACAGGGTTTCTCTGTGTAATAGTCTTGGCTGTCCTGGAACTCTCTTTGTATACCATGATGGCCTCGAAATCACTGAGATCTGCCTGCCTTTGCCTCCCAAGTGCTGGGATTAAAGGCGTGTGCCACCACCACCTGGCATCTGATATAGCTTTTTAAGAAGGATTTTATCTCACAATTTGGAGGTTGTCTGGTATCTTTCTGCCTAGGCTCAGTTTTTAAAAGTCTTCTGTCTGCTCCATGGCATCACGACAGTATCATTCATAGGGCATGTATGGGCACATGTACTCACATTGCAGGAAACATAGAGCCTAAGTGAGCTCAGGAATGTTATCACACCATTTTGTGAGAAGTATCAAGGGGTCACAGGAGAAATCCTTGAGGACTTCTCAGAAGGCTGTGCTGCATACTGATTCCATGTCCCCCAGCATCAAAACCTGAAGATCAAGCTTGTAGCAATCCAAATCTTGGGGCACAGACAAGTCCATCCCTTGGAAGTACTTTAAAAATGCTATTTTGTCTACTTGTGCTTGGGGATTTTCTCATGCTCTTTCCTAAGCCTATCCAGCTGCTAGTTTTCAAAGGTTCCTCTCAGCTGTCAAAGCCTCCTGGATATTCTTTGTGACTTTTTTTTTATAGCGTCTGTCACACCAAGGCAAATATGTTGTATTTCTTTTTCAAAAAATGAAATGGCTCCTTGAAGAAACACTACTTTGTCATTGTATCTACCTTAAACTCCTACAGTGTGTTGTAGGCAGTCTGTGAATACATGCCAAACACATGAACCACCCAGGTTGTTTTAGCGTTAACTGTTATAAAGGTATATAGGTTATAAGGGTTTCTTAGGCATTTCATTTTTCCCCACAAATGAGTACATACTAGATTGCTTTGTAGTTATTTCTCCTTTATTACAAATGTTAATAATTTTAAACCAATATCAAGTAAAAGATACTTTTTAAAATATTCAAATACTTTATTTTCAGAACTGAAACAAGTTTTCCAGCCAACTTCTGGTCTAGAGTAGTGTGTTATATGAATCAATAAATTATTAAATATTTTGTGTTTTTTTCCCCCTTCTCATTCACTTAGCTAAAGGACATAAAATCAGCAGATCAGAAAACAACACTCCTTCATTTCCTGGTGGATATATGTGAAGAAAAGCACCCGGATATCCTGCACTTTGTCGACGATTTCGCACATTTAGACAAAGCTAGTAGAGGTTTGTGGTTTTATTTAGAACTATGTATGTCTTTGCTCTGGTCTTCCATTCTAAGAGACAGAAAATAATACTTTTTATCTGCACATATTATGTGTTTTGCTAAAGTGTTTTCAAGTGAAATATGGTGATTTGGAAAGAACTTACAGGCTATTTTATGGGTTGTCATGATTAGGAATATAAATTTGGTTAGACAATAAGGTGTTATAACTACATTGTATTGTAGCATAAACATCACGGGTGCCTGCTAACTCCACCGTCTGTCTCCTGCTTAGTTTCCTCCACTTTACCGTGACAGTGCTTCCTAGGACCAGTGACATGACAAGTACCAAGTGGCATTCCCAAGCACTATTGTGTACCAAAATGAGCATCTTCCTTTTGTGTAAATTTCAAATCTGTGTAAAGGAATTGAGTGTTCTTTGTTGTACTACTAGATATCAGACCACCGGTTTCAACAAATATTCTCTTATACATAAATTGCTCACTTGGGTTTAGACTCTGCTATGGGCTTAAACAGGGTTGTCAAGAGTTGAGATAGACCCTGTTGTTGACACTTGATTTTAATCTGATTTAAATTTTAAAAATTTGGCAACCATAGAAGTACAGTTTTCACTGACATTCGACCTGGATGTTTTTCAATCCAAGCAACGACTTGTCTGTGAATGTTTTAGAAGACAACTCCTTCACAGTGGTGTGATAGCTGTATTCTTTTTGTGTTAACCATTAGTAATAATAAGATCAAATCATTTGTGTGTGTGAGAGCTCTTTAATTCCTTGTTCATACTGGAATATATTAGCCTGAAGAAGGATAATTTATTTTTTTCTGCATTAAATGGAATACTATTTCTCAAATTGTGTATTAGTCCCTGTACCTTAAAATTTTCTTTTGCTGTCAAGTGGCAATTTGAGAATTTTATTTACAAAGAGAAATGTGATTGTATGAGATGTTTTTTATAATTTTACCCTGATATAAATTTCTTTGAAGTATGTATTTCAAATAGCTTTTGAAAACAGTTAGTCTGGATTTCTGATTGCAACATTAAGCCTTTTACTATTCATTTGTAATGATATTAAATTATTTATATTGCCCCGTGTCACTTTAAATGGCCTTGATATAAGAAAAGATAGATAATCGATAGAGAATGATAGACATGTTTCATGTCAAAATGTAGTTTGAGAAGAGAAAAGGGCTCACATTATTTTCTAGGTCATTGTGGTATGAGCCAGAAGCTTAGAAATGAATGAAAGAAAAACATATAAAAAAAAAAGTCTTGGCAATCTAAAATGTACAATTAAATCATTTAGTCAAGGAAAATGACTTTGCTAAGGTGAGATTTTTGAAGTTTTGGAATATTTGTGCAAATGATAGGTAAAATTAAGCATTGCATTTGTAGGTAGCATAGTGTTGTATAGAAATGGCACAAAGCCCTTGCAATGCAGATAGGTTCTTTGCTGTTGCAAAGATGATTGTGTAGATAAGAAGAATCCGTGCAGTACTTTTAGATAATGAGTTGGAATTTCTTACCAGTCACTATTCCTTTAAATAGCTGCAGATTTATTTATTCGTTTATTGTTATACCCTGCATGGCCTCAGAAATTTGATTCCCTTATCTCTGCATCCACAGTGCATAGACCTCAAGATTGTATCCACTTCCTCACTTCATAATTCTGGTTAAATGCTTCTTAGAAGCAATGGGGAAGTTGAAACAGGGTCTCCCTCTACATCCTGGCCTGTCTTTGAAAGAACTCTGCTTCGAAGCTAGGCCTTGAGCTTGAAGCAGTTTTGCTACTTTACCTTCCGGATGCTAGGACTACAAATGTGAACTACTCCTGACTCAGTTTACTTTTAAAACTTCTTAGCGCTTTTCTTCGAGCAGCTTTTTGGGTTTAAGTTTTTGAAAATTCACCTATTTTAACTCATTTAATTTTACTTATAATTCTATATAAACATTCTGACATTCTGTTCTTTTGAAAACTTTCTAGTTTGTGTGAAGACTTGTAGAGTTTAAGTTAGTAAGCTGCTTCTTCTGTTTGTTTTCCTTCTTGGTGTTCCAGCGGGGGGCATTCAGGGGCCTTGGAGCATTAGGTTTCCATCTGTTACAGCGAAGGCATGTGTGTGCAAGGGTCAGCAGATCCTGCTAATATGTTTCACAGGGAGCAGCAAACTTCATATTCAGAATAATGGTTTTTAATAGTGTAGATGATTGTTAAGCATAATTTCCTTTTCATTATATGATCCAATTAATGAAGGAAATATTAGAGGAGTAAATGTAATGTTTTAGATGAAATAAGTCTGTGTTTGCTTTGGAGAATTGGATGTTCTTACATATCATCATTTAACGTTTCCACTTTTGAAACATCCTCAGTGAGCTATCACATGAATTAAAAAGTACCTTTGTTTTTGAGCCATAACAAATCCTGGTCATTAGGTACTCCTAGATCAGCAGGGGGAACTTTCATTGCAACTAATGAGCTTACCCGACTGACAATTTTCAAAAATCTACTTCATTAGGATGCTTCTTTTCTAAGAAATAATGGCTTATGGCTTTTCTGTTGTGTTTCACTGAAAATATTTTGGTTCATTATTGTATTTCTGTATACCATGGTAATATTTCTTTCTTTTATGGAATTCTAAGGGTTGAACACACTTTTTCCTGTCTACATAATTAAAATTAATTTAGTCTGTGAAGGTTTTGTTTACTACCTCCCAGAAATCTGTAAAAGTGGAATAATTATTAATGTTCAGCAAGTGACAAAAACTTTTGTTTTTTGGGAAGACAGGTTAAAAACAAACTTCAGTGAAACTGGCAGGATGGCTTAGTGGGTGGATCCTCTTCCAGAGAACCCCGCTTTGCTTCCCACCTCCCACACTGGGCAACTGAATCCCCCTGTAAATCCAACCTCAGTGGCTCTCATGCTCTCTTCTGGCCAGCACTGGCATATGCCCACACTGTCACACACATACACAAGATTAAAACTCGTAAAATTAAAAAAAAGAAACAAAAACAAAAACACAAAAACTATAGTTAGTCTATATCATATTATCCTGGTCAGCCTTTTTTGAGAGTCATCATAACTGTCTCGTATACTGATCCATTTCTTCCCTTGTCAACTGTCTCTTAGACAAATGGCATACTGGTTATTCATTTCCTTCATTCAGCAAGGCTGTGCTTAGTGGTTACTGTGTAGAAATGGTGTTCTCTCATTGGTCCAGTGGGTACTCCATCTTCTCACAGTGCAGCCAATCCAGCCCAGGCTGACATGTATCCCAGCAGTCTTCTCCCTCACCTATTGCTTTCCTGCCTCTTCTTTGTGATCTCTACATATAGATTGAGCTCTTCTCTTTCTCCCCTCACAACAGCTTCTCCTGAGGTTCTCTCTCCCATCCCCAAGGACATAACAGCCATCATTTGTAATGACTTACAAATTTGCTTTGCAGACTTTCCATCTCAGCTCACATCTGTGCCTGCCACAACTGGCTGTTCTCTTCTGAATCTCAGGCTGGTGTAAGGATCATAGTAGGCCACCATATGACACTAGGCATTTAATGTCTCCTCCCAAATTATTTGCTTTAGAAAACTTCTCCTGATTCACTTTCTTCTGATTTGTTTCCCTTTATTTGTTGATTTCTTTACAGCCTTTAGCAATTCAAATGCAGACGGCCTAGTGGATTTTATCCATTGAATCCATGAAAGGTGTGAAAGCTGAGGCCTGGAGTGTTTGTCTGTTCATTAGCCACCTTGTCGAAAGTGGCATGCTCCCTTTGGTGGCTCTTTTTGGAGCTTATTGGATCCTCATGTAAGTATGTGAGCCTTTGACTTTTCCCTTAAGAATAAATTGTAGATGTCCCTGGAATCCTTATATCACTATTTAAAGACTCTTCTACTCTAGACTGTTCCTGGGTTTTTTTAAGAATGGAATTTGGTCCTGGAAGTCTGTTCTCAGAAGTAGCCTTCTGTATATTATCAAGTGGGTCCACTGAAGCCACACTTCTAATTTTTTCTATGTCTGTTTCTTACCACTTAAAAGGATGCCTTGATGTGTCCTGTTTGATTTCTTTTCATCTTATTTAATATGCTTCTTTTTGCTTCTAAGCCTCTATCAGTATGCTTCTAACTAGTAATTCCTCCATCTGACCCAAATAGTTGTCTGCTAAATATATCTCTACTCTCTAGTTCCTCGTGCATTTCCAACATTTTATGATAAATACCTTACTAAGTACCAAATGTTTATCTTTTATTCACCTACTGTGAGCACTTAGAACATTTAATTTCCAGGTGGCTGCCACCTGGAAGCTGCCTCATATCTGAAAATTTCACATTTATCTTCTGTAGCCTGCATACAGGCTTTCTAAAGACTTCCACGAACTTTGAGCTGTTGTCTCCCCAAAATGACAAATTTTATCAGAAGGCAGTATACTTTTATGATATTTGGTATTAATAGCTAAATCAGTGCCATTTTCTGTCCCCCTCCCCCCCAGAGCAGAGTTAACAACACAGGTAACACTATGTTTTTTTGAAAAGAGCAAGTTTTGGAGGTTATTTATAGATTGGAACTTTATATTTTGAGTGAGATATATAATTCATTGATAGTTCATATTGTCCAGTATTAGAATTTGATGACATACATTTAGTTTATACATTTCTGTCTATACAAAAATGACTTTACTTGGTAGGATGCTCCGTTACATTATGGTGTAGATATTGCAGAATGATTTAGACCTAGAAAGTCATGATAAGAGATACTGGTTTATGGCATTGTCAGTGGAGCAGGGGAATGCTACTTCAGCTTTTAGGGCCTGAATCATGTCTACTGTAAGCTCACATGCTGACCCTGCTCCAGGATTTCAGAGCTTGCCTGTGTTTAGGGATGCTATTTCTCTGATTAAAATGAGACCATTGTGCTATGCCTTACTGTACCTTGGTGTAACCCAACTTCTGTCTGCATAGAAAGAGGGAAAGTTAGGTTATTATCCACGTGGCAGCAAGATGCACAGAGTGTAG